CATATATATATATATATATATATATATATATATATAGGGGCTGGTTCAAATAAAAACTAGTCCTAGTGTGAGAACCGTGAGAACCGTTTTTTATGCTATTTTTAATTGTGTATGATGCTATTTTTCATATTAGATGATGCTATTATTTTTACAAGTGCTACCAGAAATTGTGTTGCTATTTTTAATAAAATTCATCCTAGTTAAAAATAGCATCAAACACAATCAATCATAGCACTACGCCCCAATAAAAATAGCGGTTCTCACGGTTCTCACATTAAGACTTGGTTCTCATTTGAACCACATCCTATATATATATATATATATATATATCGGACCGCGAAATATTTCTGAGTTTATTGATGAAAAAGAAAAATAAAATAACATAAAGACATAAAAATTCAATTGGCATGAAATGAATTATATGTAAGGAAGTTGAAAATGGAGGGAAAACAATTCATTTCTATTTCAAGGATTCATCTTCATTCACATTTTATACAGCTAGTCTATACACATTGCCTATATCATTCATAACTACTGTCTTCTCTTGCAATTTTTTTCACCATCATTATATTTCCCACATTAGTTCAAAGACATCAGATCTCTATGACAGCAAGTCCAAGTCACCATTAGTTACAACTACAGCTAGCCGATCGAAAAAAAAATGCCGCTAAATACCTCCCAAGTTCGAAGGAAACGATTGCGACAAAGCTCGATTTTGCTGTTGAAATTGAGCTTGTTGTAAGCAGTATACTATGTCAAACGAGGATAACATTATCTCGTCATTGCTTGTCTAGCTTTATACGAGAAGTTTTTAATGGATACGCTGTTGGCAAAGGTCAATGGAAGTTCTTCATCGGCCAAATCATTAGGGTCGGACCACCTTCCCGAGCTACTTTCACCCTTAGAGCTGCCTTCAGGTTGCTCGTTTGGTGAGGTTGGTTCATGATCTTCTATTTCACGATACAAGTGCTTCAAAATGAACAGGGCAGTATCGTGATCTCTCCAGTAGTTTCTGCAGAGAAAAATAGATCAACATAATTTTTTTTTTTTTTTTTTTTTTNTTTGTTGTCAAACCTCAGCAAGACGTCAAATTATAGCACTGCTACTTTGTTCTTACGTATGTGACCCGATAGCTGATAAGTACTGATGTCGAAAAGTTTTATCCTGCAGCAACAAAAAGCATAAAGAATATGATGATCCATTGATCCAACTCAAGAAAAGACGCAAATGGAAATAAATACAAAGCACACACTCAAAATGGCAAAAAGCACATACTTGTAATACATGATCAATTCGCCCGTCTACACTCCCTGTGAGTCTCTCCATCATGACAGAACCATATGATCTCTCTTCTTTTTCATGGGAATCTTCAGGTTCCTCTGGAAGATAGAAATTGCTAATTCTTGTTAAATAAAAGCTTCTAATGTTCGTAGCATAATAACAATAGCATCAAACACAAACTCGCTCAGCAAAGGAGGGTAAGGGGTGCATGGAAGTACCGGCTTGGTCATCATTGCGTCTCGATTCACATATTGTCAGCACCTTAACCTATTCAAGGATCAAACATAAAAGCTCATAGATTAACCAATCAATAGTCATAACTCTCAGAAGAATTTGTTGTTGTTTTCGTTTAAGAGAAATCATTCTGGAGCCTGAAGGGAAGGAGCAGGATACATACTCGACAATGACTACGTTCATGAAAAAAAATAAAAAAAAAAAGCAGCTGCGGAAGTTAAAAAGGAAAAATTAACGCAACCAATAGAGTACCCACTCTCACAGTACTCAAATTATCTTTGAAAGCCTGAGAACGTGCAGCTACCCCTTCTTTAAATTCCTGTACAACATTCGAGCAATACGAGTAAGAGGATGAAGCAACATTTACGTACATTTAGACTATGAAGTACCCATACCTGAAACCCGACATAAAGCCGCTTTCCACCTCTGTGGTAAGGAACAATGACGGGACGCTTGTGTATAAATTCTTTACAGATAAGGGGTTCGATCCTGTATGCAAGAAAACCGTAGGAATAGTAAGAAAAAGGAATGAAAATAAAATGTGATAACAAGTACAAAAATACTCACCTATATGCCACAGGATCAAAAGGGTGAAAGATGTTGAACATCTTACGACATGCTGGCATTTCTTCATTTATATTTTCTTCTTCCCAATAATCTTTCCCCTTGCCTAGCCACCCGACAACAGGAGGCAGTTTAGTCAAATATTCCACATTTATTTGAAAACTGTTTGTAGGTTTGATTGTAGACAGACAAGAGTTTATCCATCATCCATAAAATCACATAACCACAGTAGCTGAAACAAGTCAAGAGAGCAGTAATTGTGTATCCTTGACAACAACTTTTACGACCCCATTTTGATCCATATGTCAAAAAGATAACAATGGAAGCTAATGTGACTGATCATGTAGCCAGTACACTCGTATATAAAACATAAAGAGTACCGAAGGCACTTTCTGGAAGGAGAACTGAAAACAGAAGCAACAGAAAGGAATGTAGGTATAATCAGTTATCAAGAATCAGCGATTACCAATGCCTATACGAATATTGCGGACGGATAGAAAGACTCCCAAGGGTGACCCCACAGCAAAGAATGTGTCAACCTGACATCCAAACCCAAATATATCATGAGAAGAACTTTAGATTTAACTTTGTGTAAAACACTTCTCTAGATGTAGAAATAATCCTTAAAGTACAATCCTTGCATGAAAGCGAGGGAAATTTAACGATAAAATTGAAGAATTCTTTACTCAAGCTCATTGATCAATCAAAGCCGTATACAAAAATCCTATGCACAAATGTAGAGACGGATATTTCATAATACTTAGTCATGGTTAAAAGGGCATCACCTTGAATTCTAACTTTGTGTATCTTATTAGTGGAGTATAAGTCATCAAGTTATCTCTACTGCCAGGCCGAACACTATTAGCTTCATATTGGTTCACTGCCGTTGCGCTCTTCATAGCATTCACTGCAGCAGGCAACGAGTAACAACAGAAACAGAACATCAGACGTAGTGAAACTTGAAACCTCGAAAGTGAACATGCACACTCCATATATGACTATCTTGAAATGGCACAAGCTATACCTTCGTCTGCACATTCAGCTTCAAACTCTTTGATTTTAGCTTTTAACATATCTATCTGAAAGATATGAGATACAGTGAGAACGAAAATTACCATAACCTGAATTATAAACAAGCACATGTTACAGTAGCTACCTCTTCCCTCAATGACTTGATAATCTCGTCCTTGTTGCTATCAGAGACATCCTTACAATCTTTAGTGTCATCACATGCTACAACCTCATTGTTAATGTTATTGCCATCATTCATCACATTGTTTATCTGATTTATATTATCGAAAGTTATGCACTTTTCATCTGATGAGGCATCAATTATCTGCTGGTAGCCAGTATCAATGGTAGTTGATTCCTCTGACTCGGATACTGCAGGTGGACCCAATTGGTTATAAGTTCCATAAACTCTTTCCTCAAGTAACTCCGGGTTGTCTGCATGGCTAACTATGCTATCCACTTCATTGTTCACCATACTGTGGTCCCCAGGAGTCGAAATAAGATTACCGCCCGATGATAAGTTATTGGTTGCAGGACAAGACACCACACTTCTGTTGTGTTCGTTGTATAACCATTCCATTGGAAAAGGTGAATAAAGAGTTTCTTGATGACAAAGGATGTCATATGATAGAACACTTCCCAAGGAGTGACCATATATGGAAACCTGAATAATAGATAATGGAACAACAACTTAATAATAATGCCAACAATAAGCAAGAATGCCATTTATGACCAAATTAAATGATCAGCTTTCTTCTCCAACTATACATATACCTTTCCATCATAACCAGGGTTTCTCTTAAGAAACTTCAGATATAATCTGTTAAGTTGGGTAGATACCTGAATGCATCAAGAACATACCATTAAGTTAGCTCAAATCAAGCTCTGCACGGATTAACTAATATGATGTAAACATTATTTATTCTTGCTGGTGAATCAAGAGAGAGCAACTTCTTCACAATCCTTATAAAGTTGATGATCAAGAAACAATGAAATAGCAAAACAAGGGGCAATTCCATTGTCGTACGCGTAAAGATGGAACAGCCAAGGATACTGCGTTTACAGAAACTGACTTGGCACGTTGAACGCTAGTGGAAAACTAACACAGTAAAATAGGGATAAATTCATGGCGTTCTTATCAATAATTTATCAGCTGAAAATATCCTCTTCTGTGGCAAAGCAACAATTCAGATTCACAACCCTGTAAGCAGGCAACAGAAAAGGTATCCTACAAACTGTAATTGGCCTCATGTAACTTTCATGTTACAGGGTTTGCTGAGAAAGCAGGGTTGAAGGAGTAAACGGGTCCGAGGCAGGTTAGAGTTAGTAATCATGATGGGCTTGTTAGAGTAGGGTACCCGGCGTTCCAATCTAATTGGACGTATTCTACTTGTAAATACAGTCTATTGGAATTATATTATGAATAAGGCATTTCTTTATTTTAAGAGAAAGCATTTATCTTATAATTGCACTTAAGATAAAATCCCTAGATCACTTATGGTTATAAGGTATGGTTGCGCATAGAGATGGTGATCATGGAACATG